AGTAAGATAAGGGTGTTGTGTGTGTGTTGGAAAAAAAACCGCCCCCTTACAGCATCAGTCAGTATAAATTATCTGGTGTTAGCAGTATAAATCATCTGGCATTAGCAAGTATAAATCGTCTGTCGTTTGCCAAAATAAACTATCAAAAGTCCACTTGCCCGAGCAATTGACCACCACAGATGCATTCAAACATATATACTGTATGTTTTTTTCTATTAAAATCGCAAAAAAAAAATCTGTATTTTTTTCAAAATTCCTAATGGGTAATTTTTTTTCCATAACCTAAATTAAGGTCTAAATTTGTAAATTCCGTAAGGGCGAAATTTCATAACCAGAAATTCCGTAACCAGGCGGATGCTTGTATTATTATAGCGGATTATTATAGCGGATTACTTATACTTTTATCCTCTTTGACACTGATCGGATTGTTAACCGCTTGGGCAGTCGGTCATGTATCAGTTGCACGCTTTGGCAAGTACTGGGCAAGCACTGAGTCCTAAATGTATCTGAATTTGCTCCACTGTTGATCAAGTCTGGTTTTGAAAGAGCTCACACTCGGTGCCGTCACAACACTCTCTGGCAGATTGTTCCAAGAGTTCACAATTCTCACTCCGAAAAAATTTGCACTAACAGCTTTCTGAATTTGTGAAGTTGTGGCACTTCTTCAACCTTGGGCTGTGACCCCTTATGGGGCGGGCGTCCGCCAGTTCCAGGTATGTACAGTCCCCCTCATTAGTGCGTTTACAGGAGCTCGTCAGGTTTTGTACAGTGTGGCAACTCTGTATTTGGTTATTGGAAACTCACATAGTAAACATACTATGGAATTAAAGTGAAAAAATATTAAAACAAATATATATTTGTAAAGATTTATGGAATGTTTAAATGTTTAATAAGAAATGCATTAAACAGACTGTTATTAGATCGTATCTTTTGCCTAGTGGACGGTGGTATAGCGAGGTGAAGTGACGGAAAGAGAATGTGGGGTGGGAGGGAGGGGCAGCAGGGAAGGAAGTGGAGGCAGGTCATGGTTTTCGTGAATTATGAAATGTTAACACTCAATTGAGGTTTAAGTTTTTATCTATTATTTTCCTAGTCTGCTTTATTATTCAGATAACATTCACACTGTTCATTTTAAAATTTGGCCAGTGTGTGAACATGAGGAGGTTTGAAGTTAATTGCAGTGATTCTTTATTCACATGTGCTTGTTGCTTGCTAGAACAATCTACAATATATTAATAGAGTAAATAAAACATGTAATAATAATAAGAGTGCTTGCAATCTGTCTCTGTATCCAAGGTGCATGTCACGTCTGGTAGAATGGTAAACTGTAAATGAAAATATGACTGTTTTCTAAGCACAACTAATTCCCTTTCTTTAAGCTATAATATATAATTATTTATCTGTAAAGGGATCAGGGCCAAGCGAGGGGTGTGAATTGATTGATCTTTGATAACATACAGTACCGTTTTCAGTGTTTGACACTTGTATCATTTAAGAAATTTTCATTCAGGTGTCATTTCAAACATTATATTTTTCCGATAATGTTTTACTAACCCGGCACCAAATGAAACCTAGATAATATGGGAATTATGGTGAAATTGCACGCTGTCGTTATAAAAGGGAACGCGGGCTGCCGTGCAGGAGGTGGTAAGTTGTCCCGCCTTTCTCCCTCCCTCCTCCGCCACCCCTTACTAGCTACACACACAAGCGTAGTTTTGGATCTTAAATATATTCGTATTTCATAATATATTTCTATAATAATAATCGACTTTTCGGAACTGGACGGTAAATTCAGATTAATTCCTTATTCAAATTGTTTAATTAATTTTTGAAAAATAATGTTACGACCCTTCTTTCCGCCTCTTATCCAGCGGCCAGGTCGTATATACAGAAACAGTAGATATATCACATGTTTCGTCGAATTCCCACTAGCTGTCCTGCCAGTCTCCGGTAAATTCCCGACGATCGGTATCAGTGTACAGACAAACAAAAGGAAAATAGATTTCCATCAGTTCACAGACACACACTTGTGAACTGTATTCGTCTTTAATAGTCATTAATTCTTCACAGCACTGTTCACAGGGTATGCCTTCACAACTATGCTTCTCACTTCGAACATGCATACCGTCACCACACTACCAGTGACCAATTCCTTAGTTTTATCACCTTTATATTGTTAGCAACAATTCCACAATACTTGCACAATACTTAACTTCAGTTGTCACTACTAGGCTTGTACTTCACACTGAGCAGAAACGATCGACTGACTTATAGGCCGCTCGCGGGTATTTAAATAGGTCTCGTCAGACGCCTATAATAGGGCATTCTCGCGATAACCAAACGCTGGAGAGCGGACCGAGACACGCCTGGAGAGGTCTAGAATGATCTAGGCTTACAATACGTAAGTAAATCATAAAAAAATTTATGCAATACATTATAGAAAATTTTTACATAGATAATACATCAATATATACAAGAAAATCTCCCTAAACTTGCCAATAGAAAACAATCAAAACTACCAGCTCACAAAAATTATAATACCAAATTATGCCTCGGCATAATGATCCGAATTAACGAGGGTGCAGTAAAAAAAAGGATTGAAGAAAATTAGTATATTTACCCGAAAATGCGAGCTGAAAAACAACAACAAAGCTCACAGTTGCAGGAAGTTGACAAACCAACACTGAACCCCCCCCCCTCCCTCCTTCCACTCCCACGATTCCCTTTACGTTTTTTTTACCTTTATTCTAATAATTTATCTTATTTTGTTTTGCGTTCTACAGTATATGAACAATTGTAATGCGTGTAACAGTAAAAACAAAAATTTAAGTATATCTTCCCGAAAATAGTTGAAAAATAACAATAACCAACTCACAGCACGTGGGTCACATCACCACCACCAACAACACTTACCACCACCAACACTCACCACCACTCACCACCACCACCACCACTCAACACCATTCACCATCATCACTACCAACACTCCCCTCCTACCCCCTCTACCCTTTCCATGACCGTACACTAACTACCACAGACGTAAGAATTTTTTCTTTCTTTTTTCACGGGAAACAGCCCATTCGCTTACAGGTCACCGACCCACAACGGGGCTCGGGGGATTGGAGGGGGGGACAAGAGTAAACGAAAATTTAAAAAAAAGTAAAAAAGAAGAGAGAAAAATACTATTAACCTACACCACGAATTTACCGGAAAACCAGCTTTTTAGAGTGAGGCAGATTGTAAGAGAATGTAAACACAGAAGAAGCAGGGCATTCCACAGTTTGGCTGTGTGAGGAAAGAAGGGTGTACTATAACGGGTTATTCTAGTGTGACCGACATCCACAGAAAAACGGTGGGCACCGCGGGCAAGACGTGTGTTACGAGCCCATGGTCTTGCCGGCGGTACACAGAATGCCAAATCCACCGAACATTGCCCGTTAAAGTACCTGTAAAATAGAGAGTGAAGCAAGATTGCGGCGAAGAAAAAGGAAAGATAGATTATCAACTAAAGGAGGAGACTTAATAAGACGAAATGCCTTTGATTCCACCCTATCTAACAGTTGGACAGAAGAAGAACCACCCCAGATATGAGAGTAATACTCCAAGTTAAGACGAGTGAATCCCTTACAAACTTGAAGTAACCGCTCAGAAGTGAAGTAGCTACAGCATCTGTACAGCATTCCCAGCTTTCGGGAGGCAGCTTTAGTAATGTTGAGGATGTGTGGCTTCCATGACATATTTGAGGAAATGGTGAGGCCTAGCAGATCTATTTTAGAATTTGGCAGAATGATTGCGTCCTGAAATGTGATTGGTGGGAGATCATCTAATTTGGAAAGTGTAATTGGTAAATACTGTTTTATTACTATTGAATTTAACCCAGTTTCTACCTCCCCATTCAGAGATGCTGCACAGATCCGCATTGACAGATGAAATGATATCAGCTATAGAATCAGATCTAGTTTGAGAATTAGGGGGAAGGGAGAAATGTGAAGAAGAGTGAAGAGTAGAATCGTCAGCGTAAGAATGGATAGAATTAGTCGAAGTGTGAAGTAACTCACTGATAAAAAGAAGGAAGAGAGTAGGTGAAAGAACAGAACCCCGTGGGACACCACTATTGGTAGAGAAAGAGCGAGAGATCAATCCCTCGACAACAACTGCCATGGATCGGTTCTCAAGGAAGCTAGAAATTCGAGAACAAAGTGGAGGAAAGAAACCATAAGAGGGAAGTCTAGAAGGCAAAGACTTGTGCCATACCCTGTCAAATGCTTTGGAGATGTCGAGGGCCACGACGAAAGTTACCCCCAAATCCCTAAGAGAGGATGACCAAAGATGGGTGCAGTAGGAGAGCAGATCGCTAGTAGATCTCGCCTGGCGAAAGCCATAGTGGTGAGCCAACAAAGGAGAAAGGCGTTCAAGGTGACGGAGAAAATGAGAATTTAAGATAGTTCCGAAAATCTTGGAGAGAGATGAAGTGAGGGCAATGGGGCGATAGTTAGAGGGATTGGAATGGTCACCCTTCTTCGGGATGGGCTGAACTGAGGCCTGCCTGTATATTTTTTATTCTTTTCATACCGAAAGATTACCTATACCGAACTGGCTGCGAACCAATTGTTTCGGTACGTGCACTGTACTAATGTAATACCTATCCGTATTGTCTGTACTCATGCTAAACTGTTTAACTACATTGTCCATTAACATGTTTATCCAATTGTAAAACTGAATAACAATTTTACAAATAAATATTATTAATATTATTATTAATATTATTACAGTATTATTATTATTATTAAAATTATTATTATTATTATTATTATTATTATTATTATTACATTACATTATACCAGCTATGCCATAAGTAACATGCCATTTGAATGAGATTCCAGTAAGGCACAAAACATGATAAGAAAACTGTAGGTGCTAAATCAAAATATGAAATTAGAAGGTTAGTGATGGTGAACAATTTATTACTTCTTTCAGTAAACTGGTTTATGATGTCTTACTGAAAGCTGATAGTCAGAGCCATGGTCGCAGGTGTTCCACGAGCGGGAGAATCTCAGGACTGTGTGGGTGTCATTCTGGTACCCACCTAGCAGCTCCGCGTCCTGAGACTCGTCCACACTTGGTGGCTCATACCCGTTGGAGTATCGGTCCTGGGGAGAATCATTCCCACCCGGAGGGGAAAGAGATAATTAGCTTCTTGCGCTGAATCCTTGTGTGTCTGAACAAAATGGTTTAATTTTCGAGGATTAAGTCAATGGTAAAGATAAAGGGAGCAGCCTACTCAACACTGTAGTTATAAAATCAAGATTAATGATTTTGATGAAACAGACCTGGCAAGTAAGACCCTGGCCACCTGACTAATATGTTTTGTGGCAGTATATATATATATACATATATATATATATATATATATATATATATATATATATATATATATATATATATATATATATATATATATATATATATATATATATATATATATATATATATATATAATACTATTTTTTTTTTAGGGTGGTGGTGAGTTAGTATTTTTTACCTCAAATTTTGATCCATTCATAGAATACTTTTCACTATAATCAAATAGTATTCAAATAATCTGTTTCTGCGACACACCCACACAACTTGCCAGGTTGTATTTCTATTTTATACATGTCTGATCAAAGATTGGAGAGACTCCTTGGAGAACAAATAATCATAAAAATATTAACAAATAATAATGAAATATGGCAGTGGATGTCTTATATACATCATATTCAATCGTTAAGCTTAATCAAAATAAATCTATTATAACCTATATTCCTCACTAAGGTTACCTCAAGATCTTTGATCTGAATGTGTGACTTTGATCTCTGTCTTACTCATTCCTAATATTATGGTTTCTCCTGTTCTACAACTTAATACAATATTATCACTCCTCTCTTTTCTTTACATACACTTGAGCAATGAATTAAAATATTTAAAAAAAAATAGTGAATTACCTTTCATGATAAATGACAAGTTGGTTAATACTAATACACAAAACATTAAGTTTTGATGAAGTTTAAAGATCAAAGTCAGTTTTACGTAAATACTATTACCAGACTAAGTTTGTTGTGTGCTGAACAGTTTGCAAGTTTCCATTCATAGAGGGTGAAAAAGGTGGTCATTATAATCTGCGGCTACACTCACATGAAGGAAGACGTTGCCTGAATTGTCCACCCAGCCCATCACTATGTCGGCGCCCTTCATTCCACCATTGGGGGAGAACCCAAGACCCACGTAACCCGTTGTTGCCACCTGCAGCACCAGGAAGATTACGTGTTAATATATCTTCAACTATCATGTACGACTACCTCAGCCAGTATGACACTTACACTCCAACTATAAAGTCAAGAGGAAAATGAATTTTGTAATGAATGACTCGTTCTTGGGAACTCATCAACTCAAGTTTAGAAACACTTAACCTGTAGTTTCATTACATTAAGCGGTTTGTAATAATTTGCATAAAAATTATTCTAATGTGACTTATCTAAGATCATTTTGCCTGTTCTTTGGGTTTTTTTTCACTTATTTTTTCCCTTTTGCGCATCATATTCATGTTTTATTTTGTCAACACCATATACTGAGTATCTTGCCTGAATAATTTCCAGTTTATAACAATGTTAGTGTAATTTGTTTGTTTTTTAAAGGGAATTTCAATATTTTAGTTACACACAAATGACCCAAAACCAAAGCACACAATTAACAATATCATCTGCAATTGGTTATCAATACTTATGGATTACTATACTATAAACGGCTCCTAGTGTTTTATAATTACTGCAAACACAATGATTTACCAATTCGCTTGTGAGTAACTGCATCGCTAAAATGAAAACAGCTAGAAATTCAAATATGGAGGAGGGCATTACATCTCTCTCTCTCTCTCTCTCTCTCTCTCTCTCCACCTATGCACATGGGACACTATTAGTGACCAGATTTGTAGGTTTTGTTATTGTATTTAACCACGAGGACAGCTGAACAACAGAAGGGGTAGGTCATGTGTACTTCCTCCCTTCCAGGTTTTCCACTAAAGTTCATTTTTTATTGATATTCAAAGTAAGCACCGCCCCTCATTTAAATTTTGGTTTGTGATTGGTTGGATCTAGATGCCTACGATCTCATGAGTTTTGAGTCAAAATGATTACCCACTTGTCCTTCAAGAGTAAAGTTGATTGGAGGACAAGCGGTGCAGCTCTCCTCGTTGATTATTGTTACTTAAGCCTTTAGCAAGTGTCTGTCACTTTCCCTCTCTCCTCACACACACACACACACAATCCTTGACCACGGGAGGGTCAAGACCTACCACGCGCTGCTCCTGCTGTGCAGCTGCCCCCTTGGCCAATGTTTGGCCATTCCCCAAGTCCCTCTCCTCGACCCATCATTACCACAGGGATATCAACATAATCAAAAGTAACAAGCACCCCTGGGAACTGACCACCATCTTCTGACCAGGCGGTGTTAATCAGTCCACCCTGGAAACAACAGTGGGTCGGCCTTACACCTGACTACGAGATAACACAACACCACCCAGCAGAGAGTGAGGTAATGTGACACCACCCCACACCACACGGTGTCTCCATGACCACGTATGGTCATTCATATCCCAAGGGATTTTTCCAGGTATATAGAACAAAAGTCAAGGACAAAGTTGGGCCTTTAAAGTCAGGGATTAGGTGCGCAGTTTCTATCTCAGTGAAGTACTTCTTTGAGTGTATTACACGAAAGCCCTTGGGAACTTCGTGTTTTCCTCTTTCCTTGTGGTTATCAGCATATACCTAGATCACGCGAACCTACAGTGATTTACTTATATATATATATATATATATATATATATATATATATATATATATATATATATATATATATATATATATATATATATATATATATATATATATATATATATATATATATATATATATATACGTGTGTGCAAGTAAATCACTGTAGTTGCGCGTGATCCAGGTATATGCTGATAACCACAAGGAAAGAGGAAAACACGAAGTTCCCAAGCGCTTTCGTGTAATTCACTCAAAGAAGTACTTCACTGAGATAGAAACTGCGCACCTAATCGTATTATAGTATAACCAGAAATATCCAGCTTAACCAATGTGGACTAGGCTGACAGTAAAAGAAGTACTTCACGTGTACGAAGCCTACAGTATTGTACATGCAGAGTATGCAAAATGTGTTTTAAACCAACGGCGCCGCGACTTAGCAGCTCGATGGACGCAAGTGAGCTCTGACATTGTTTATATTACAATGTCTTTTGAATTTTTACACTAGGTTGGTTTCAAAAAGTTTGTAATAGATGTCTCCTACTCACGAACAGATATAATCATATTCATAAAACGCCAATAGTAGCCTGACAAGAAAAAAGCGGGCCTACTCAATGACAGTTATGTCACGACATGGCTAAGTTAACAGTGAAATTTCGTCTCTTAATAGCTCTTGGTATATCACTATACGTAAGCGAAAATTATTTTTTTAATATGATTATACAATACATTTTATGAACGTAAAAATTATCAGTGAATGCTTTGTCATAATAGTTGAAAATCTTGAAAAATTTCTCTTGTAACAACGCTTGACAACTAATCTCTCCCAAGACGAATTTTCCTGCAAATGTCATGGATACCAATATTTGTTTATGTTTTGCAAATCTAACTGCTAATTAAGATAAATAAAGTAAAATTGATAAAATCATACGCTATTTTTGGATGATGTACTTTCAGTAAGCTACTGTGTATCAACCCAATTTATATAATTATAATTTTGATATACTGCAAGTATTTGTCATTTTGTTGATTACAGTACGTTGTAGTCCAGAATATCCCTAACATACGCACCACTGTTTAACTTTTTCACACAAATCACCCTCGTCAGCTTCAATCCGTATTTTTATTTATTTGATTACCGTATTTTTCCTATGAAAATGAAAATCCATTTTATTCATTCATTTGATTGCATGATGGAATGATGATACATTAAAGATATTAGTTTTGCAAAACTTCAGTTAGAAAACTAATAGATAATGAAGTGCATACTGTCACATCATCCAATCACAAAAATATACATTTATCTCTACAGGGTTAATATCTGTGGTGTACCATCTAAACAGATAGCAACAATGTAAGGCCAAAAGATGACAAATAGCAGGGGATAAGCAACAGGCTTCTCACACTCATCATCTCATTCACCTTGAAAGAAATTTCCTTAGCCACTAACCTGAACTTCAATAGTAATATTACTTTCTAGTGGTGTCCACAACATGAAGTAGTTGCCAGACTGGTCCAACATCACCCGATGTGTGAAGTCCATGAGTGGTAGGCTACCGGCAGTGGACCCTGACTGGTCTTGGCCAATGGTAGGTGAAAAAGTTCAGGTTAAATTTGGAAGAGCATATAATACAATATTCAATGACCAAATTATTGTGCAGAAAAGACCCGGCCAGGCACAGGGGTTACGTGGTGGAGTTGATGATTACACCCTACTACTACTTCTACTTTGCTGTCACTCGGAATCGAGTATTACGACCAACCAGGTAGGAGACAATGATATATTAAGGATGTCACCTTCGAGGGTGAGTTTTAAGGTGACTAAAGAGGCCGATATAGGACCGGCAAGGTCGTCCACAGAAGTTGCACATGTGGATGGCTACATCTAGTGCGGGAGGGGCGGCGGCAGCGTCTTTCCGGCGTTGGCGCTTGTCTGCCTAGGTTTGCAGTCGGGCTAATTTGAAAGTATTGAAACCTTCTTGTGCGATGCTCCTCCAAGCGTTACGGTGTGGAGTAATCGTCTCCCGGGTGAGGAGGTCGATTTGGCACTTTTTCAGGTTTGTCTTAGGACTATCCTTATACCTTTTCAGTTGCCCGCCAGCATTACATTTACTATTCGTTAGGTGTCTGTAAAATAGCTTCTTTGGCAGTCTATTTGTCATCCATGCGGGTAACATGGCCAGTCCAACATAGAGTAGTTGTTCTTGGATAATGGGAGCCTCGATGCTCCTACAGTTGGTGCCAGGGAGAATACTGGTATTTCTTCTCTTGTCTTCCCAGCGAATTCGGAGGATAGAACATAGACTACATTGGTGAAAGTTTTCAAGTGCCTTAAGGTGCCGCCTGAAGTGACTCATGTCTCGATGCCATATAGCAAGGTGGGGAGGACCACTCCTTGATATACTTGCAACTTTATAGATAATTTCAGCTCCCTACAGCTGAAGACACGAGTAAGGAGTCTGCCAAAGGCTTGAGATGCACATCCGATCCGATGTTGAATCTCATCACCGATGTCTGCAGTGGTGGACAGGTGGGAGCCGAGATACTGAAAGTGTGTAACATTTAGAGAGGGTAGTACCGTAAAGCTGGATGGATGGTGGAGGTGTTGAACCAGGGGTAGGCTGAAAGAGAATCCACCTCAAGACCGAGGTGAGCATACTCATCTGCTTAGGTTTTCAGGATCTGCTGTAGGTCGCATTCAGTGTGAGTGACAAGGGTGAGGTCATCTGCATATTGAAGTTCAGTAATGGAAGCTGCCGATACCTTTGTTCCTGCCTGGAGTCGCCTTATGTTGAAAAGATCCTTCATCCGGTAATGGATGTCCACCCCGCTGGCTAAATTGGCACTGGCACGAGAAAGGAAGGCAGCCAAGAAAATGGAAAAGATAATTGGTGCCAGTACACATCCTTGTTTTACCCCTGTTTGGATGGGGAAGAACTCAGACAGGGTGCCATTGTGAAAGACACTGCCGTTCATGCCATCATGGAGTTGCCTAACAATGGCAATGAATTTTGGTGAGCAGCCAGAGGGCTTCCCTGTTGACCGAGTCAAAGGCCTTGGTTAGGTCGATGAAGGCCATGTACAGGTCACGCCACTGTTCTCTGCACTTTTCCTGTATCTGGCGGGCAGCAAAGATCATGTCAGTGGTGGCACGTGATGGTCTAAAGCCACATTGAGATTCTGGGAGGAAGTTTTCTGCCTTGGGAAGAAGTCTGTTTTGGAGGACTCGGGCAATCCCATGGTAGTTGCCACTGTCTGACAGGTCTCCCTTCCTCTTATAAATATTGACGATAGAGGCGACTTTAAGAGCTTGGGGGATTTCTTCCTTTTCCCATATTCTCCGGGAGAGAGCAGAGACGGCTGGTAAGCAGAGGTCCTCCTGCTTTATACACCTCAGCTGGGATTCCATCAGGCCCTGTGGCTTTGTTATTTTTCATCTGTTTGATGGCATTAGCTACCTCATCCAGGGATGGAGGATAGCTGAGATGGGTCAGTTTTGGATGCTGATGGACCTGCTGGGTAGTCAGAACATCCACATCGGTTTTGTTTGAGCAAGCGAATAGTAGTGCTCGTTCCAGAGCTGAAGGGTGCCTTCTTCATCTCTAATTAGGGAGTTACCGTTAGATGAGCGGTGCCATGAGTGATTGACCCATAAGATATTTTAGTAGAATTGAACAATTCCTGCATCTTCTGTTGATCTGCAAGTTTTTGCGTTTCACATACTTTATTTTTAAACCAGTTGTTCTTCAGTTTGCGAAGTTCGCACTGGGCCGCCGCTTTCCTCTTGGGGAAGGCATCAGCTTTGGTCTGAGACTGAGGATTGTTCTGCCTGTCAGTTAAAGCAGCACGTTTATCATCGACGAGTATATTGATTTTCGGGTCATTTTCATTAAACCAGTCCTGGTGTATTCGTTCGATCTGGCCGAAGGTCTCTCTGCAGGTTTATGTCATGACAGTGTCGAGAATATCCCATTCGGCACTGGGATTTGGGTTGTTTGTTGTCGGGTTGTTTATCAGCCCATGGTCGTGCTGCTCTCTGTAAGCATTATGCCACCGCTGGATCCTCCAGACGCTTTGTGTTTTAACCGCTTCTGGAGGCTTGTTGCCTTTGCTGTTTTGGGGCGACTTGAAGTGAGAGCTTGGCTCTAGCAAACCGATGATCAGTGTCGCAGTGGTCTGAGCCACGCATTGCTCGGGTGATGAAGACATTTCGGTGATCTCTTTCTCTGTGAATGATGTAGTCAATGAGGTGCCAGTATTTGGATAGTGGGTGTTGTCACAAACCCTTGAAATTTTCGGCCTGCCTAAACAAGGTACTGGTGATAGTGATTGTTTTTCTTTCTTTATTTACGGGGATTAGCCCACCCGGGCACAGGTCACTGACCCACGTCGGGGCCTGGGGGGCGAAAATACAACAACAACAACAACAACAACAATAATAATAATAATAATATAATAATAATAACATAATAATAATAATAATAATAACAACAATAACAATAACAATTATAACAATAACAATAACAATAATAATAATAAGAATAATACTACTACTAATAATAATAATAGTAATACTAATAGTAATACAAATAGTAATAATAGTACTAATACTAATACTGATAATAATAATAATAATAATAATAATAATAATAATAATAATAATTATAATAATAATAATAATAATAATAATAATAATAATAATAATTCAGAGTAAATAAAATTTATAATAAAAATTTGAAAATTGAAAATTGAAAATCAAATAGTAAATTAATAATGATAAAAATAAGAATGATAACAACACTGTAGTAATAATAATAATAATAATAATAATAATAATAATAATAATAATAAAGAAATCCAAAAATTTAGAAAAAGATCAAAAGTGAGAAACAATATACAGTATGTGTGTTGTGTTGTCAATAGTAGGAGAAACAATTGAAACCCTGCAATTGTGTGTAAATGATGCAGAAAGTCAGATCAGCAACCTGGGACTTGGTCACAATTTTCGTGATGCCATATGGTAGAAGGGTCTACCATTATTCTTCCAAAATCTTCCCAGGCGGTAGTACTGTAGTGGATTTCTCCCCTACAAACGCTGTTTGTCGCTGAGTAGCCGACCCCGCGAATTCCACAGTGTGTGCCTCGTGGTCGAGGTCAACCAGCGCCGCCTTACATGACGGAGGTCAACTACTAAGCCACGCCTACCTCCGCTATTTAAGACCTGACCTCGTGGTGACCTGCCTCTTTTCTACCTACACCAACCAGCCAGCAACACCTCCTCCTCCTCCGCCTGCCTGGCGGTCCTCGCTCCCGCCGGAGAGCATGGCGACCCACAAGCTGGTCCTCCTCTGAGCATCCTTACCAACTAGCTCTCTCTTTTTCTAGCTACAGCCGCAGCAAGCTACACCACCTCCTCCGCTACTGCCTGGCTGCCCTAGCTCCCGCCGGCGAGCATGGCGACCCACAAGCTGTCCTCCTCTGAGCACCCTCACCAACCAGCTCTCTCTACATCACGCTTGTAACCACGCTGCCACTTCCCAGCACCAAGCTGCATTGTACATCCAATACAACATGTATACAGAGAGCACATTGTGAGTTTCCTTTCTCCATCCCATCCTGAGTGTGAACACAAACATCCCATACCCCACAGTACCTTCCTGTTTGGTAGCACACTTGCTGAGGAAGAGTGGGTCTTTGGGATTATACTTGCCTAGTCCATTAATCCCAATGATTTCCTGCCAAATGTCAGCATCTCTGCCAATTCTGGCATTGAAGTCACCAAGGAGCACAACCTTATCTGTTCTGGTGATAGAGGTTAGCACTCTGTCAAGGTCGGCGTAAAAGGCCTCCTTGATGTCATCCTCTGCATCTAGTGTTGGTGCGTATGCACTGATGAAAAGAGCAGAAGTGAATGATTCAGTGGGACTCTGAGCGTCATGAGGCGCTCGTTATTCCTGACAGGCATTTCAGTTAGCCTGTGTAGGATGCTTTGGCGGATGGCAAAGCCAACTCCATAAATGTTTTTTCTCTCCACAGCAGGCTTACCCTTCCCGAAGAAGGTATAGCCAGGCCCCTGTTCTGTGAATCGACCCTGGTCTGGGAGCCGGGACCCATTAATGGCTGCTATGTCAATGTTATACCTAGCCAGCTCTTTTGCCACAGGGGAGGTTCTTTTTTCAGGACGCTCATTTGTTCCAGTATCCAATAGGGTCTTGACATTCCATGCAGCGACCAGAAGAGGTTGTATAGTTTGTTTTTGTTTTGATCTGGGATTGTAATTGTGTATTGACCGCATAAGGATGACCTTACTGGGTGCGGTTGCCCAGTCACGTTGGTTCTTTAGGCAGGTTATGTTTAGGGATCCTCTCTTAGCCCCCTACCTATGTGCGGTGGGCAGAGTGGCTCCTCGAAAGGACTTCTCAGTCGCACAGACAGGACCGGATAGCACTGCTGCCTAGATCCCAGTGCATAAACGACCGTCTTATCTGTGCCGCCCATGTGTAGAGTTGTGACTAGAGACTCCCGGCAGTCATCTCTACCTGTCTCCGTCGCCACTCGTCCGTTGCCATAGGACTTTTGGGGGTATAGGGGTTTTGATGATGATTAGAAGTGTGATGAGCTGGAAGATGGCTGCGAATGAGTTGATTTATGTAGTGAGGCAGGAGCGCAGGCTGCAACCACACATATTGGCTCTCCCTTTTCCTGATCCAGTGGTGCAAGTGTTGCAATGACTAGGGAGAGGGGGGGGTTACAATGGACTGCCGATAGCCCAGTTTGTTGGGTTTCGCCTAAGGAGCTTGTCCATCATGCTTTGCCTTCATCCGCCGGTGTAGTCGTTGGGTTCCCATGTTGGTCACCTCTTCCGCCTACTATACCGCCGCTGGGGTCTTGCTGGAGCTCTGTAAGCCTGTCTGCCTGATGCGGGGCTCCACCACAGATTTTTCGTTCGGGGTGTACTTCCTTAGCTTTATACCTACCAAGGTCAATCCGCAAGGCAGTGGGGCATCGGTTGGTAGGCTCCAGAACGTGTCCATATGCCAGTGGGCCTATACGCCATCCCTCTAGGGCCCACTGCTACGCAGAGATCCCCTACTGGTCTAGCCTGGGCCCACGAGGCACCCAGTTACTGTGTGTTGCCACGAGGAGGCACAGTAGGAGTCTTGATGGTGAAGAGGCTGTGTATTGGTAGGGGAATACTTATGCAAGTTACTTCCCTGTTCGCCACGAGGGCTAGCCAGCGGTTATAGCCACACTAGACGAATTACACCACCCTGTAGGCGGACATACATACATACATACATACATACATACATACATACATACATGCATGCATACATACATACATAGACACACACACACAATCGTGATCAAAAGTAATCATCCTCTCCACCAACTAACCCCTGTGCCTGGTCGAGACCTTGCGCCTGGCCGGGACCTTTCTGCGCAGTAAGTTACCTGGGGTGGCGAGGGGGAATGGTCGACTTGAAGGAGGGCCGTATGTTGGGGTTGGTCAGTGGGAGGGTGGTATGCGATGCAAATTGCTCAACACAGAGGGAGGAAATCGAAGAAAGCAGAGAAATTCATGAAAGGAAGGGAAGTACGGACGTAATTTTTTCTTCACTATAATATCTTAGGTATACATGCTTGAAAGAGTAATAGATGAGGACCCTTATTTTATGATTATTATAATGTGCCATTCATTTCCTTATTTATAATTTTTTCGGGTTGTTGTTCAGGTTTTAAATAGTGGCAATTATTTAAAATAACGGTGAAATAAAGAGAAATACAAAATACAGTACGAGGGTGAAAATCACACGTATTTTTAATATATACCAACACAGGTATTATAGAATCTCAATAGCCTGTCCAATGTTCTCCTCGCCTGTCAATCGAGGTCTCTCCGGCCTAAAATTATGCCAGAGACATGGCGACCAGCCAAGCAGCTAATATGCTAATCAGTGGCAAAGGGGATGAAGTACAGTGCAGTACAGTAAGTAGAAAGTAAAATACAACTGCTGAGGTACACCTACTTCGCCGGTCGGCACCGCACGCCTCCACAATGGGCTCAAGAGGTGTAAAGTCCGGATAGGGGATCTCCGTGGTGACCTGTTGGAGATGCAATGAGGAAGTAGATGACATAACTGCCTGTAGTTTACATCTGACAAGGAATAATTCTATAGAGGTATAACTTTCTTAATACCTGGACAATGAGAAAAATTCTAGTCTTTGCTTCATAATATCCCGATATTTCCCAATAAATATCCAATAATTATTCTTAAGTTTATTATATAAATATTGCTACTGTGCAATGGTTAACAGAACCAGACCTGTGTTTGTGAAACTCATATGCCCCATTGTTGCAATAACCAATGAAACTTCCTAAAAATTTAACTACAAAATCCAAGGATACATATAAAGTCCTTACAAAATTTCAGTACTCTGTCTATGCTGTGTATCTTTTAACTTAATCCTACTCACAAACATTTGAGTGATGGACATCTTTACATGCAGATGGAATAATAAACCCCAATATGCTCCCCTTTCATCTCACGAGGGCATAAAATATCCAATTCATTCTACATTATACAGTATATTCATTGAAAAGGAAAATTCAATTAACATTGTCAGGAATCAAATAGATTATCGGTATATTTTAATTTAAAAAAAAAATCTGGAATTCAATAACCTGAACCAAGACCTATCCAGTGGCAGATTGTAGGTCAGACCACATTGATAATCACGTAAATTCATCAAATTACCATCATCCTTGCCCGTTAAGGCTATAACATCCACCTTATACAACAGTAGATAAGCATGCACATCTGTGACCCTAGAACGTAAGCTCTTCACATTCCATGAAAGTATACTTAAACTAGTGTCCCTCATTTTCCCTATTAACAACAGAAACTAACCTTATTCTCTCATTCACAAACTGTTCCATTACTTCTTTCACTCGAGCTAATACTTTATCATGTAATACTTCGGGGATGTCACCCCACTTGCGGGTTATCTCCTCCTTAATATATACATTTCCGGTCCCCCTATCAAAGATGGTTTGTCGGAATTTATCACTACCTGTATATTATTTTCAACCTTCTTTCCTCTTAGTTCAACGTCCACATTTCTATGTTCACAAAAATGGTCAATTACCTTCTGGTTGTCCTCTACCTTTTTTCTAAGCATCTGAATTTCTTGCCTGAGTTGAGCTACTACATCATACACATCACCAAACTTGTCATTACTTTATCTTCTGGAACAACTTTTGGTGCAGCTCCTGCACCATTTCCTGTTACCTTTAACGTGTCACTCTGTTCCATCCTCTTCCACACGTTCTCAGTTGAAGGTATAGTTGTCTCTCCTGCAACTCCTCGTCCTTTTTTTTCCTCTGCTGCACCTCCCCCATGCTCTGCCACCACGCAGCTGTGGCTTCTTTTTGCAAATTGAGAACCTGCATTATGAGCGCCGCCACAATTGCAACAGCACTGCCCAACATGTTGCCCAGACTTTACTTTATTTCCACATTCTATTGAATTATGATTTTTTCCACAGTAACGACACCGACATTCACTTTGACATTTCCAGGCCATATGGCCCCACCTGCTGCACTTGTAACACAGAACAGGTTGTTCAATAAACTTTGCAATTCTCCTATATCCTATTCCAAAAATTAATATCTTCTCCGTGCAGGATCCAGTATAACCGGGTACATGAAGACGATCACCTTGGTGTTTTGTTCTGTGTCATGAGGCACCTTCATTATCATCTCATTAAATCCTGTTGTCGTCAAAAACTTTACCGCTTCATCCTCAGCTACAGTCAGATAGGAATTATTACGACCTTCCTTAAGCGGAGGTTCAAACTTTTTATGCTCGCTTCCCAGTGTAGCAGCCCACAGCTTAAATCACTTGAAAAGTTCAACCTCCTCCAACTTTAGTGGTTTCCACTACTCGAGTTGCTCATAACAGTGGTACTGTCACGATGATTCATTCGACCAACCTACTGCGTTTTATTCCCAGTTTAATTCTTTCTGTTTTCTTCTGTGTGTGTCGTCCTTTTCTTCCTATCATTCATGATCTCATCACTATCACTTCCTTCACTTTTCTTCGCCAACTCTCGCCTCCTCTTCTTTTCTATCTTACTAATCACCTCTTGAAAACTGTCTGTCACCTCCATTTTTGTTGGCCGCCGATCATCTGCTTCCGATTCGCTACTTGAGAGCCGCAGGTCGCGTTCTATGCTGTTCAGTAATGCAATCTTTTCTTCTCTAGCCAAAGCCTTCAGAAGTTTCTGCCCACCACTTGCCCCAGGCATGGTGCAAACTTAGGCAACCAATGAAAATCAGCAGTATTGTCACAGATTACAAGGCTGACACGTCCGACCAGTACGGCCAGCGTTCAGAGAATGCATGCTCAAAGGTCGCAGATGTAGAACTTCCAACCGTTCAAAAAGAGGTCGAGTAACATTGCTCGGAAAGCCTCGAATCAAATCGACCCCATGGCTAGCGATACTAAAGGTGAAGGAGGACCAAACTAACAGTAGACTGATAATGCATGAAAAATTATTTGTAGCAATGTTATTGTAAATGATGCACTAGCACACCACGCATCATGGCAGATAATGGCTAGCAAAGGTGTCCTTCATTTTGCTCGTAAAATTTTCGTATGCTATAGCTTAAGGTGGCCAAATCGATGCTCTTCTGAATCTTATCATTCACCAGTTAGTGATGACGTCACCGGTGAGTCTGAGGTAGCTGGCGCCCGACCTGGACACCCTAGTCGCACGCACTGTGGTAACTGCGGCATGTCACATGCCTCTGGTAAAAGTAACTGCCCTGCAAGTGGGGCCACATGTCGCAATTGCTCTAAGGTTGGTCACTTCAAAAGGTGTTGCAGGAGTAAGTCAGTCCTAAGGGCTCCTGTGGATGTGTCAGGTGTTGTCACAGTGGCAACAGCCCAGCTATCCCGCCACCCCAGGTTACAAGTGTTCGTGACCCAGGCTGGGGGCAATTCCCCCGCCACCCCTGTGCTGGCTGTGGCTGACACGGGTGCTATGGTGTGTGTGGCAGGGGCATCCCTGCTCCGGGACATCGGTTTGTGTCCGGGGCAACTTCGGGCCCGTAATGGCCTGACGGACGTGGCGAACAATCAGCTCAAGTGTCTGGGGTTTGCCCCCTGCTGCCTCAGTGTGGACTAGGGGTCCACCGTCCAGGAGGTCTACTTAGTGCAGACAGCCAAGGCCCTCTACCTGTCATTGGAGGCCTGCAAGTGCCTCAACTTGGTGCCTGTCGACTTCCCGCTCCATAGACGTGCTGTGGCTGCCGTGGGCGATGGAGGGGAGCGGCACACTGCCGACGACCTACCTCCGAACCCTTTCCCTGAGAGCAGTCGCTTCCCGCCGAGGCCAGTTGAGATACCCTTGCCTCCTTTGGAGGAGAATGTGGCCAGGTTGGAGGCATGGCTGCTCACACACTTTTCATCTACCGCATTCAACACCAGCAGGTCCCCACTGCCAATCATGACTGGTCCCCCTCACCGTATCCACCCGACGCCCGGCACGACCCTCTACGCCTGTCACACACCTGCTCCCGTTCCGAAACACTGGGAAGCGGAGGTGAAGGCCCAGTTGGAGGAGGACGTCAGGAGAGGCGTCATCCAGCCAGTGCCTGCTGGTGAGGCTACGGAGTAGTGCGCCAGGATGGTCGTGGTGGCCAAGATAAACGGTCAGCCCAGGCGCACTGTAGACTTCCAACGCCTCAATGCAAACTGTCTGAGGGAGACGCACCACACACCTGCACCATTCGACATGGTGTCTGGGGTGCCAGCGCACTCGTTCAAAACCGTCGCCGACGCTTTTTGGGGATTTCATCAGGTGGAGTTGGAGGAGGAGTAGACGCCTGACCACATTCATCACGCCGTGGGGCCGTTTTCGATACTGCAGGACGCCCATGGGACATTGTTCAGCGTCAGATGCCTACACCAAGAGGTTTGACGACGCTATTCAGGATGTGCCCGCAAGTACAAGTGCGTAGATGACACTCTCCTCTATGACTCCAGTGTGAAGGGGGCGTTCTGGCACACCTACGATTTTCTGGAGACCTGCGCTCGCACAGGTATCACACTGAAACCAGAAAAGTTCTTGTTTTGCAGGAGAGAAGCCGAGTTTGTGGGTTTCCTCCTGGGGTGGGACCTCTACCAGCCCACTGCCCAACATCTGTCAGCCATCAAGGACTTCCCCATGCCTGATCAGCCATCAATCACTGACATCAGGTCCTGCCATGGCCTGGTTAACCAGTTGGCTCCCTTCCTTGCCACTGCACCTGTGATGGAGCCCTTCCGTGAGCTCCTCAAGAAGCCAGTGAGCAAGCGGATGTATTGGGACGACCAGCTGCGGCTCAAGTTTCGCCAAGCCCAGGACACCATCTGTCAGTTGGCCAGGGACGGCTTGATGTACTACGATAAATCCAGGCCTACGGCAGCTGTCACGGATTGGAGCAGGGAGGGCATCGGTTTCGTCGTCCTGCAACAATAATGTGCCTGTGCCTCTCCAGAGACGCCCTTCTGCTGCAGGGGAGAGTGGCGGTTGGCTCTGTGCGGTAGCCGACATCTGAGCACGGCCGAGGCCGGCTACGTTGCAGTAGAAGGGGAGGCCCTGGCTATGGTATGGTGCCTGCGCAAGGCCAGGCTGTTCCTCCTTGGCTGCCCGAACCTCATTCTGGTGACGAAACCACCGCCCCTTAGTTGGCTTGCTAGGGGACAGAGCCCTGACGGATGTGGCGAATCCGCGCCTGTTCAGGCTCAAGGAGAAGACCCTGCAGTACCGGTTCACGGTCAAGTACTTGCCAGGGAAGTGGAACTGTGCAGCTGACGCCCTATCCCGCTTCCCCTCCCTCAGGGCGGCGCCCGACGCGGAGGACATGGGCCAAGAGGAGAGCCTGTGCGCTGCAGTGTGTGCAGTCACAATCGCAGCACTGGATCAGGATGGGTGCATCACTATGGACGAAGACACAGTGTGCAAAGCGGCTGCGGGCGACCCAGTGTACCAGATTCTAGTGTCGAGGGTGCTGGCGGGCGACTGGCACCCCCACAAGTCACAGGAGGTGGCCTGTCTGCGCCCGTACTTCTCGGTGAGGGACAGGTTGGCTGTGGTCAGGGGTATGATCACCTACACCTTTGATCAGGGCTGCGTGCGCCTTGTCATCCCCGACTCCCTCCGCCACCGGGTCGCCGTTAACCTGCACGTGGGGCACCAGGGCCTCGACTCAATGCTCAAGCGGGCCCGGCAGTCTGTCTATTGGCCTGGCATGGAGGGTGACCTGCAGTATCATCGGTCCCGGTGTGCTGCTTGCGAGACCCACGCCCCTTCCCAGCCTCCGGAGTCGTTGGTTCTGACCGCAGCGGCAGACTATCCCTTTCAACAAGTGGTGGCCGATTTGTTCCACCTGCAGGGCCACACGTACCTAGCATATGCTGACCGACTCACAGGTTGGCTGGAGATCGCCCACTTCCCCAACGAGGCCACCTCTGGAAAGATCATCGCCCGTCTGCGGGCCTACTTCACGAGGTGGGGGACACCTGAGCAGATCTCCACGGATGGAGGTACCAAACTTGCCAGCCTTGAGATGACAGATTTCCTCGAGTCATGGGGGGTCGAGGTGCGCCTCTCGTCGGCCCACTTCCCCCAGTCCAATGGCAGGGCAGAGGCTGGGGTCAAGGCCCCCAAGAGGCTCCTCAGGGATAACACTGGACCCGGGGGTAGCCTGGACTGCGATAGGACATCTCAGGCCCTCCTCCAGTACCTGAACATGCCTCTGTGGGGGGTGAACAAGTCGCCCGCCCAACTCGCCACCGGCCACCAGCTCCGTGACGGCGTTCCCGTGACCAGACAGCACTGGCGGCAGGCACTTCGTATGAGGGAGGTGCACTTGGCCGAAACCCAGGACGGGGTCCTTCTGTCGCAGGGGGAGGTGTCCCGCCAGCTGGCTCCCCTAGCCGTGGGCACGCAGGTGCGTGTGCAGGATGCAGCTACCAAGCTCTGGGACAGGACAGGCATAGTGGTGGAAGCCCGCCCTCACAGGCAGTATGCCGTCAGGTTGAGTGGCAGTGGCAGGGTGTCCATCCGCAACAGACGCCACCTGCGAAACGGCTCCACACCTGTGCCTACTACTCCGGTGGTGCACCAAGCTGTGTCTCCTGGCCCCCCTTCTGCTGCGCCCTCCGTACCCGCGCCCTCGCTCGCACCCCCGGCCCCTCCCCAGTCGAGCGCAGCCAGGCCCAGGAGAGGCCGTAGGCCCCTGGGCTGGTTGACGGACTACGTGGTGTAGTGTATGTTATATAAAATTAGTTTAGAGTTTTGTTTTTGTTTTGTTTTTCTATGTTTGACTGGTTTTTCTTGCATTATTGTTGTTTTTAAGTGCATTGTTTTCCTTTTGTTAGTTCAAATGTGCATTGTCATTTCCTTTTAACTTGGGGGGGGGGGAGATGTAAGATTGTACCATCGTACGATATGTTTTCCCATGTTGAGGTGGGGGGGCTTGTCTATGCCAGCGCCCGGTTGCCAGTCACCATCTGACGCTGTTGGAATAAAGTCTACAAAGAACATGGTCCATGATTCAAACCTCTCACACTTACTCAGGAAAGTCACTAACACAACTAAAAATAAACACTCACTCCACGCATTTTCACAGCATTTCGAGAGCGACACTTGGAGTTGTGGTTACCATCCACAATCTCCTTCTGTAGTTGTGCCACCAGCTGCTCGTCTTTCCAAATCATTTCATCATTTAGGATGGCATAAAGTGATGTGTTGAGGTATTCTGAAATGTATTTATGAAAATAATCAAGTTTTTTCTTTGATCATTAACAACATTTACAACACAGGATATTAAAAAGTGACAAGGTAAAAGAAAAAGTAATAAGGCAAGAGAGTTGTGAGTGGCTGTGAAGGAACTTAAAAATGATAATGCACCAAGAGTGGAAGGAATCGCCACTGAAATATTAAGGATGAGAAATGGAACACTAATGAAATAGTGTAGATGAGAAGAGTGTTCAGGCTATGAAAAAGTACAAAAGTGAGCATGTCAGTGAGCATGTACATTTCTTACATATACAGTAAAGGGAAGAGGAATATAATATCAATTATCACTGGTAAGAGTAATAGGTCTCACAAGTATACTAGAGAAAGTGTGTGGTACAATTAGCATTGAGAAATTTATATATGGTGAAAACAAAAGGCATAAGTGGACAAACAATGGGAGTTCAGAAAAAGAAGAGGATGCATGGATCAAGTTTTCATATTAGAGACCTAAAGTGAAACGCCACTACAGAAGGGAAAGAAGTTGTGGTAAAAACGGATTTAGAAAAACATACGAGTACATTGAATACAATATGAGAGGTACAGTACAGTACTGCATATCTACAGTATGTCTATGTCTCTGTCTAGGAAACTGCTTAAGGCTTTTATAAGATGAGCCATGAGTTAGAATTTGTCAGGATGAGGTAGATTAGTTCACAAGGAGAGTAGAGCTGCATCAAGAATGTGTTGTCACAATGATTGTTTGATATTTTCAGGGATAAGGTAGTAAGAGATATTAAAGAATAGGTGACGTAGAAAGGTACACGATTAGTGAATAACAGTAGGGAATGTTTGCAGATGACACTGATTTGTAAAAAAAAGTCATTGAACAATTTTTCAACGATAAATATACAAGGTATAAATAAATTACATGTACACTGTACTCCTAAATATGAACTAAAGTACATGTACAGTACAGTACTATAATAATAATAAGTATAGAAGACAGATAAGTAAAAATAAATGTTCTTTGCAGAAATAAAATAAAAGACGGAACACTCCAGATCTCTATGTGTGGATGTGTCAGCATATAAAACTAAGAGGTATACTGTAACAGAGTAGATTAAAGGGAGAGAGCAATAGAACAGATGGATGGGTCTAAAGGGGAATTGTTAAGCCAACATTATTACATCGATGTGATGAATGGTCTCTAGAAGCAGCAAATTAGAAGTGACAAAAGCGAGGTGCTTGAGAACAATATGACATACTGTACTGAGTGAAACTTTCATAGCCATCTTGCTGAAATTCAGTGAATTATCTTTAAAATTTGTGTTCCTACTTTCAGGGGACTTGACAATCACTCCCATGAGGAATCGTGAAATTAGAACGGGTTTCATTTCTGATGAATCATTGCCACTTCGTATAGCTTGGGCCAGTTCCATCTCCTTCTGCTCGTTGACGTCAGCTCTAGTGAAATACAGAAGTGAATGTTTGATTCAGTGATAAATCTAAGTATATCTATTGACTGATTCTTCTGGATTAAAATCATTCACAGGAAATGATATTATAGAGCAACAAGACAAAATTTTATAAGGCATGGGTAAACAAAATAGAAAACATATTCAGAGAATGTGAGAATGTTGTAAAGAGGAGTCACACGGAACAAACATATAACGTAGGCTTACCTGCTCTCTAAGGTCTTCCCTCTGAAAAATAAAAAATCAAGTTCATTAACATCTTTGTGGAGGGATTCATAGATATCGTAATCAATCCAATGCAATATACTTAACAATACAGTATTTCACAAATTATTGCGACTCCAACCTATTTACGGTGGCATTAGGTTCCTCAAAACCCCATTGAAGGTCGAAATATCATAAATCAGGTTGATTATAACACGGGGTTCAATGGGATAGGTTCCTGGTTAGTCGGACACCCATATGTATCACCCCCCCCCTCGAGAAAAAAACTCTTACAGAAAAAAAACTAACCACATAATTAAAAACAAGTTTGGTTATCATCACATGTCGCCTTCGAGGCTAAGAGGACTCTTAAGGTGGAGTGCAGAAAGTCAACCTGAGGCCCAGATAGACTTTACGGAGTCTGAAGAGTGGGAACTGGAGGTGTAGCCTTCGTTCTGGTCTTAAATATGGTGAGCGAAACGCTTGCCAAACATTTTAAAAGTTACAATGTTCACTTATATCACAAAAACACGATAATAATGATGGGGAGTCAATTTTTTTATGAAAAAACATAAGAAATGTTGCAATGGAAATAAAAACTGAGCGGAATACAGAAACAATTTGGATAGAATTAATTGATAGTAGGGAAAAATTAATCACAGGAGTAATGTATAGACCTCCTAATCTTGATAGGGTTAATGAGCGACTTATTTGGGATAAAAAACGCAGGGCTTCCATACATAGCAAAGTCTGTATAGTAGGCGACTTTAACTTTAGCCAAATAGATTGGACTGACCTTACGGGTAACTCAGAATCAGAGGATTTTCTTGCCAACATATAACCGAACCCACCCGGGGTAATAATATACTCGATTTAGTTCTGTCAAACAGAAAAAAACCTCATTAGTAATGTCGAGGTAGGGAACGAACTTGCTAACAGCAATCACAAAGAAATTAGATTCCAGTTAGAATTTCAGAGCAGACGCAAGGAAAATTCCACTAAAGGCCAGATTTCAGAAGGGCAAACATTGATAGTTTGAAGAGGCAGCTGAGAGAAGGAGTATCGCGTTTGGAGGTGAATTACATGACCTCGCATGAGGTGACCTCACACTGTGTACCCACAGAGGGCGACCTCACCTTACCTGGAGACCTGACGGTCAAAGGATGACCTGACTTCGTGATCTAAGGTTGACGAGTTTCACAAGAACTTAAATAATGAATTACTTAATGCACAAAGGCAGAACATACAACACAGAAAACTCAGATCAAACAGCAATGACCCTAAATGGATAAATAATTATTTAAAGAATATTATTGGACAAAGGAAGGCTATAGGTAGGACTATAAATCGTAGTGAAGTTTACCTCCGACATTATTATAAGGTATTGGCCGGTAGGGTTAAAACCGAGATAAGAAAAGCAAAGAGGAATAATGAACTGAAGGTAGCAAGGGAGGCAAGTCAAACCCCAAGGGATTCTATCAAATGTATCAAACTAAAACACGAGAAAAGATTGGACCAATACAGTCAGATACCGGCGAGCTAACTGATAACGACGGAAAAATTAGCAATAATCTGAATAAATATTTTTCAACAGTTTTCATCACCGAAAATTTAAACATGATACCCGAGGCACCGACTCTATAGAGAGATAGTAAAGAAAATAAATTAAGCGAGATGGTAGTGACTAGTAACGATATTAGTAAGCAAATAGACAACTAAGGCCATATAAGTCACCAGGTCCCGATGAGAAATTTGCCAGAGTATTAAAGGAATGTAAGGAAGAGCTTAGTATGCCCTTAGCAAAGTTGTTTAAAATGTCCTTACAAACGGGTGTAGTACCAGAATCCTGGAGGATAGCGAATGTAATACCGATTTTCAAGAAGGGAGATCGATCACTATCCTCTAACTACAAATTACTGGAAACAATCATTTCAAACTCTATTCGAAATCATCTGGGGAAGCACAAGTTAATCAGTGATTCCCAACATGGATTCACAAGCGGGAGTTCATGTCTAACTAATCTATTAACATTCTTTTCATCTGTTTTCGAATTAGTGGACGAGGGGTACAATTATGATGTGGTATATCTCGACTTTAGCAAAGCCTTCGATAGTCCCCCCCCCCCCCACGAAAGACTAATAAGAAAAGTGGAGGCTCCTGGCATTAAAGGAGATATTCCAAAATGGATTAGGGCGTGGTTACAGGACAGGAAACAGCGAGGGAGCATTAACGGCACTAAATCCGATTGGAGCAACGTCACTAGTGGAGTTCCCCAAGGCTCAGTACTTGGACCATTAATATTTATTATATACATAAACGACATAGATATCGGCATAGACAGCAACATAAGTAAATTTGCTGATGACACTAAGTAGGGCGTGTAATTAAATCTGGCGAGGACTCGGCAAAACTACAGGAGGATCTAAACAATTATTTCGATTGGTCTGAAAAATGGCAGATGGAATTCAAAGAACTCAGTATAGAGATGTAAACAGGGAAACCAGAAACCAGATGAACAACGATGTTATTGAGAAATCCGACTGCGAGAAAGATTTAGGAGTCATGATAAGTATAAATCTTAAGCCAAGTAAACAATGTGTATTTGCTGGAAACAAGGCTAATAAAGTACTTGGATTCATACAAAGCAGTGTTAGTTACAAAATTATATCTTGCGCTTGTGAGACTTCACTTGGATTACGCAGTTCAATTCCGGTCACCGCATTACAGTATGGATATAGAATGCTTGGAAAGAATTCAGAGGAGAATGATAAGACTAATCCCGGGCATTAGGAACCTTGAGTATAGACACAGGTTAAAGCATCTTAAATTGCACTCCCTCGAGAGACGAAGAGTGAGGGGCGATATGATAGAGGTGTATAAATGAAAGTCAGGGCTGAACAAAGGGGATATTACAAAGGTACTCAAACTATCCAACCAGGAGCGAACTCGTAACAATGGTTTTAAATTAGACAAACTTAGATTTAGGCGCGAAATAGGTAAACATTGGTTTGGAAATTGAGTAGTGGACGAGTGGAACAAGTTACCAAATATCATCATTAACTCGAAACGCTGGTTAGTTTCAAACCTAGGTTGGATGGATATATGAGCTATTGAGGTTGGGTGTAAATGGGACTGCCCTGTGTGGGCCAATAGGCCCGCTGCAGTTTCCTCCAACACACACACACACACACACACACACACATATATATAATATATATTATAT